TGGTTGGCCTAGGCGGGCATCGATCCGGGATTCGAACTCCGCACCGTGCGTGTGATATAGTGCGCCACTTGCCACTACACCACCTCCTACTTTGACTACTGTAACAAAATTGGCTGCTAAATGCGAAATGAAGACAGATTCTCATAGTGATGCATATGACTAGTGAAATAGACCAACCTCCGACTCTTGGTGTCTGTTTACTCCGAAGAAATGACTGCCAATGAAGAATTTGTGCCCCATCGCTTCACCGATAGGGAACGTGAGATTGATATCCGCAAAGAAGTCTGACCAAAGGTACGCTTGCTGAACAAAATGCCTGAGACACAAACTTTTTGGTGCTAACCCTTCAAAAATCTAAAACTTCGAAAAACTGACCTTGTACCAGTGAAATAAATAGTTGATATCTCGTTTGTGGAGATCACTGAAATGAACGACTTCGCCTTTGAAAGTGGTCGATGTGTTCCTAACGAATTCGTCTAGTCGCTCTACCTTGAATGATGACTTAATCCAGGAGGAAACCCTTTTTATGAATAATTACAATCTCAGACCTCTTTGAGCAGTTCCATTGACATATTCATGTATCGTTGTCCAGTTGAACGTTTCTGTGTCACCAGAACCACCCATATTTCCAGTCCTGCACAGCTGATGTTGTAAAAATCGGCGAACTTCTAAATTGGACAGAGCTCATCATCCTGAGAAGTGGGAAAGGCTCGTATTTTACAACCTTATTTCAAAATAGTCCCATTGCATGGTTAAAGTATTCCCAACGAATGAGCAAAAGTTTGAGCAGAGGACGAATTATTTGGCGTAAACCAATCCCGCTTGTGGGATACGCCCTACATTCGAATTTCATTCGAAACTTAAGTTGCGCTTGGAATGCGTGTGTAGCCTATACAGTGGCTTACAAGTCACTGGTTTAACCCTCCCAGACCAGGCCTGTACAGATCAACCTTCCCTGCTAGGGTAGAGGGCCCGGCTAGCCTAGCGGGTACCTATAAGGAATTCGATCCCCGGACCATGCGTGTGTGATAATGCGCCACTTGTCCCTAAACGTAACCCTCTAAATACCACTGTAAGGATCAAATGAACTACGGTAGACTTATAGGCCTATTTTAGAGACCCTGTAGTGCCGCAGTAACCATAAATCCTGCCTAATTGAGAGTAATTTGGGTACAGTCTGCCAAACACGATGTGGCCGAGGAGTACTGCGGCGTTGTTTGATGTTAATATCATTTTTTTAATTAGCATAGAACGAAGTACCTTATGTTTCTATTGTTTATAGTGCTAAGTACGAAGTTTACAATAATATTCCATTGAACTTTACAGGTAAACCGGTTGCCCATCGCTCAGGCATGGTTTAAATGACCAAAAACTCAATCTTACCGAAATAACACTGATGAATTACCAAAGTACTTCAAAAATAACAGTACTACATCACATTATCATATTGCAGGATTATACTGTAACATATTATAAGTTGTAGGCAGAGGTAGTGTAGTGGTCGCATACTCTGGTCAAAGCATTGTGTCCAAGATTGATACTGTCCCAGGTTAACTAAGCTTTCCATCCCTTTGGAGTCGATTTATTGGTAGGCATTTATTTGACTGGGAGGATGAAGCACCGTTCACAGTTCGCTATATAGACCAAATACGCATTTAAAGCGCAACTAGGATATTGAATGGAGGTCAGATGCGGGGCGCATCTGGTCAACGTTAAGGCAATCTTGTCTAGCTTTCTAAGCCAAAGTGTGGGTGAAGCTTAGGTTTAGTTTGCCTGGGTCCCGAATTTCTAAAAACTTAAAGATGTTGATAAGGAGCCCACCATAACTAAATGATCCTTCATTTCAAAGTAAAAGTAAGGGCTAGTAATAGACCTCAAACATTTGATTCGGATATGAATAATGTGATTTTTGACTCTTCAGAGTGGAGAGTAGACCCTGGACAACGTATATTTCCCGAGGGAGGCCCTTTGGTGGGTGCCACGTATACTTGTCGGGCAGTCCTGTATAAATAGTTATCTAAACGTGTTTTTCTGGTAGTATAGAATATTTCCATACTCAATGACGATACTTTTTTCATTTGATCAGCAAAACAAAATCATTTGAGTGAGACGGGCACATGAAAAACAAAACGTCACCCGTTTGTGTAAAGTAGTATCGAACTTTTTTCTAAGGACAATTTTTTCTATGTAGAAAACATGTTTTTTTCTTTTTCTATGTTTTTTCCAAGTCCTCTTTCCTTCAGTCCATTTTTCGATAAGTCCTTCGAGCGTGAACGTAAGGAAGTAGCAAGAAAAACACGAAAAAAAGAAAGTAGGAAAAAAGGTATCAAAAATACGAAAAGAAAGGCAAATTCTGTATGCACACCTGAAATTCCGCTATGGATCGACCACCTCTTTGTGCAAATCCGCGGCGTACATCAGAATGAATTTCAAAATCGTATATGGCAAAATAACTAAAAGAATATCGGGAATTATCTTGACAAATCAAGGGGTATAAAGGAGATAGAACACCTGAGAAGTGGAATGAGGATGAGCAGTACGGTCAGAAGAGTTCGCCGCGGATGGCAGGACAGCCAATCACAGATTACCCGCATACCTTAATGGAACCTCTTCAGATCATAAAATTGACAAAAAAAAAATCAAAAAAGAGCCTTATAAAGCGAAGGGAGAAGAAAGGATGATTGCAATTACAAGTACTAGGATGGTAGTTATAGACTTTGAAAAAATTATGGCTAAATAGGGACAATGTCTGACGAATTTCGATACAGATAATTGCACCGGCTGATTAATAATTTTCATTTAAGATCCAGGCAAGCAGATATAGCTGTCAGCTTATTGTCCTCACAATTAGACGCCATGATGATAACAAGTCATAAAGTCACTGAAAAATCTCCCGAATCCCAGCCTGATATACAGTAGCGCTCAAAAGTCTTCGGCCAAATGCTTCTCCAGTCATACTTTTCAGTCCCAACTCCTTTCCTACTTGATGTAATCATGCGAAATTTCAGTATTGCATTTCGATCATGTTTCAGATTTCCTAAATAGCTTGAACTCAAGAGCAACTGGAAGTACAGATGATGTTCCTTCTGGGATTCCCTTACTTTTTGCCATGTCTAAAGTGTACGAGAGCTAATGCCGAACACAGTGGGGAAGAAAAACCCGCAAGAGGTGCGAATAATTGCAGATGTGGCCAGCCTTGTTTGAAGCGACTTCTACTACCCCAACACGTATTGCTCTTAGTTATGCGGATATTGATGCTTTGCAGTAATACAGTGTTGGAGTGTGTGTGCTTTAGTTGAACATATCAAAGTTTTGAGCGATTCGCTCCACTGAAAAAAGTTACGGCCCAAAAAGGGTTTGGCCATTTGGCCGAAGACTTTTGAGCGCTACTGTAGCTCAATGTACCCTGTCTAGTCTGAATGGGGCTCTGACAACCCAGACAGGACATCGTCCCGATCAGTGCCCTACCAACAAACGATTCCTCTTACCACTGAGCTATCTAAGCACTTATTTACAAGTTTGCTCAATGGAATGGAATTAACGCATGAGTGCATTCTATGAAGCATCATCAACTGCATTAGATCGTCTCATACAAAAATAGGTATGATACTTGCAACAAGGCAATTAACAAAAAGAAAAGACTGCTGCCTTCCTATGTGGACTAACATCAAGAAAAAATAGAAATGGAAAGAAAAGTGTCAACTTTCTCGACGAATCACTGGCAGTAGACACCTAAAAAACATGTGAGTCTATGAGCTCTAGGCTCGAAGGGTTATAAGAGTTTCAGACACTCGGAAGTCCCATTTGGGTAAGCGAGATTAAATCATTCCAGACAAATGTGAGAACTTCCGAACGAGTACATAAAAATAATTATTATAGGTACTAACAATAAGATATTAATAGAGTTGTTAAAAAAGTTCATGAATCACTGACAATTCGTGATTTTCCTGAAATTTTTACAGAGATGACAGCTTTCTGAACATCTGGTATAGGAATAGTATGTGTTAGAGTAGTATAATCTAAGCGTTAGATACAAGTACCTGGTACTAGGTATACGGGAGAGTCCTGAAAGACGGCCGCACTGCACCACATGCCCATGTTAGACTAACACACGCTGTTGTAAGACATCGAAAACCAGGTGGGTTTTCATATTGAGAGAAAGAGATAGGGAACGAGTTAGGTAAATATACTATGATCATCTGATGGGTTTTGCACCCGTCATAGCAGTAGCCCTTTGCAATCATTCATATTCTGATGAGAAAATAAAAAAGTACTAACTTTTTTGTTTTAGTCCAGAAATCATCTTTGCAGAGAATATCAACAAAAAAGTGAGCAGTATCAAGTAGTAAAGTAAAAAGCCTCAGAAGCGGTCTTGTTAAAGGTTCCATTTGCAGTGAAAATTTTTCAAAAACTGCCGCATCTTCAATATTTTCAACATCCTCAGGGTTGCTCTAGATGAAAGACACGACCAAAACCTCCTGTTCTATTTGAGAGACTGAACCTGTGATTCAACTAGAAGTAGAGAAAGTAATCTTCAAATTTTCAATTTATCATAAAGTATCATATAATATCAATAACACACATCTTATCGACTCGATTGAAGTACACTTATATAAAATTTTCCAAGGTTACTTATACGGAGAATTTAAAATATAGTAAATAAATATCGTTTGTAAGATGCATGAACCAAAGAGAAATCCCTTTTCTTTCTAGAAACGGACCAGTCCTTAATATGACCTGCTTTGAATTGATAAATAATAATGATTTGTATGAAGCATATTACTGGAATGATACGTAAGGATAAAGAACCTTCAGGTTATGGTTAGAGTCAGGGAGCTATGGTGAATTTATTACAAAGTATCACATAATATCAATAACAGATATCATTGTAAACTTGCTGGTCAATCGAACAATGCAATAATGACGAATATTAATTTATCACAAAGTATCAGTTAAAATAACAACAATATCATGAACTGTTTTGATAGCGAGTTGGAAAGTACAAGTAGCTATGAAGTATCTCTTAGAATTTTATTGAAATAGTAAGAATAAATGCCTGTCCGTTGCTGGGACCATTTGAGGGTGAATTCGGGATGGAAACGATAAACTCCTTCTCTGGGACCCCTGCTGTACCGTAATACGCGAAAAAACGAGAAAGGAGTGTCAAGGGAGGCCTATTATTAGGAAAATGTGCACAGTTCAAAAGGATAAAATCGAGAAGATAATGGGTGCAATTCCAGAACTATTAAAAAATTCTTCCCAAACTACCCTCCCAGATGTTTTCAGGTGCTTTTATTGCATTCCAAAGACCATTGCATTCCAGTACAGAAAAAGTTTGGTCCAAAATTCCATGAATTTTTAGGAAATGTCCAAGTTCTCACAGATCTAGCGAGCTATGGGCAAAACACCTAGTCTTGAAAGATCTCGGGCCCATACTGGTAATACTTACTAGCAGTTTGAGAGGGATCAAGTAAAAGCAACAAAACTTTTTAGGCAAAAAAGAATTTTTACTGGATACTAGGGTCCATATGCTATGGGACTCGATGCTGCAGCGTTCTCGAGATGAATAATTCAAGAGCACTTGCAAAAGAGGACGGCTGCGGGGTCGGCGTAATCCGTTGCAGGTCTACGAAGTGCCGATACGAAAGGGGAAAAGTCGATGATGAGGAGTAGGCTGACTGGGTGTGTGTAGCACACAAACAGACTGCTGCATAA